ATCATCAGGGAAATATAAATTAAAACCACAATGAGATATCACCTCACACCAGTAAGGATGGCCAGCATTGAAAAGACTAAGAACAACAAATGCTGGTAAGGATGCGGAGAAAGGGGAACCCTCCTACACTGCTGGTGGGAATGTAAGCTAGTTCAACCATTGTGGAAAGCTGTATGGAGGTTCCTCCAAAAACTAAAAATAGAAATACCATTTGACCCAGGAATTCCACTTCTAGGAACTTACCCAAAGAATACAACTTCTCAGATTCAAAAAGACATATGCACCCCTATGTTTATCACAGCACTATTTACAATAGCCAAGAAATGGAAGCAACCCAAGTGTCCATTAGTAGATGAATGGATAAAGAAGATGTGGTACATATACACAATGGAATACTATTCAGCCATAAGAAAGAAACAAATCCTACCATTTGCAACAACATGGATGGAGCTGGAGGATATTATGCTCAGTGAAATAAGCCAGGCGGAGAAAGACAAATGCCAAATGATTTCCCTCATTTGTGGAGTATAAGAACAAAGCAAAACTGAAGGAACAAAACAGCAGCAGACTGAGAGACTCCAAGAAAGGACTAGTGGTTACCAAAGGGGAGGCTGGGTGGGAAGGGAGGGAGAAGGGGATGGAGGGGTATTATGTTTAGTACACATGGTGTGGGGGATCACGGGGAAACAGTGTAGCACAGAGAAGGCACACAGTAAATCTGTGGCATCTTACTACACTGATGCACAGTGACTGCATTGGGGTATGGGTGGGGACTTGATAATATGGGTAAATGTAGTAACCACATTGTTTTTTCATGTGAAACCTTCATAAGAGCATATATTAATAATACCTTAATAAAAAAATTTTTTAAAAAAAGGAGCCAGTCTGACAGGAGGGAGGTGATATTCTCATTGTGGTTTTGATTTGCATTTCCCTTATGATTAGTAACGTTGAGCAAGTTGTATCTGTTGGCCAACTATATGTTTCAGAAAAATATTCAAGTCGTCTGCCCACCTTTTAATCAAGTTGTTTGTTTTTTGTGATAGTAAGCTGTGTAAATTCTTTATATATTTTGGATATTAACCTCTTATCAGATATATGATTTGCAAATACCTTCTCAATTCAGTTTGGTGCCTTCTCATTATGTTGATGGTTTCCTTTGCTGTGCAAAACCTTTTTAGTTTGACGTGATCCCATTTGTTTTAGTTTTTGTTGCCCTTGCCTGAGGAAACTGGCCTAAAAAATATTGCTAAAACTGATGACAAATAGCTTACTGCCTATTTTTCTTTTGAGAATTTTAAGGTTTCAGGTCTTACATTCAAGTCTTCAACCCACTGTGAATTTAATTTGTATATAGTGTAAGACAGTGGTCCAGTTTCATCCTTTTGCATGTAGCTGTCCAGTTTTCCCAAAACCATTTACTGAAGAGACTGCCTTTTGCTCATTGTATATTCTTGCCTCCTTTGTCATAGATTTATTGAATATATATGTATGGGTTTATTTCTGGTCTCTCTATTCTATTCTATTGATCTGTTTTGTGCCAGTATCATACTGTTTTGATTACTATAGCTTTGTAGTATAGCTCAAAATCAAGGAGCATTATACCTCTGGCTTTGTTCTATTTTGTCAAGATTGCTCAGGCTGTTTGGGGTCTTTTGCGGTTCCACACAAATTTTAGGATTCTTTGTTCTAGTTCTGTGAAAAACTCCATTAGTATTTTGATGGGGATTGCATTGAATCTGTAGATTGCTTTGGGTAATAAGGGCATTTTAACAATGTTAATTTTTCCAATCCATGGGCACAAATGTGTTTCCATTTGTTTGTATTATCTTCAATTTCTTTCATCAATGTCCTATAGTTTTTAGTGGAATTTCTTTTGAGGGCCCTTTTCTGCTCAATTCTTGAAGAATTCTGTGTTTTCTTTTAACAAGAAATGTCTTTCTTTTACATCTGTATAAGGTAGTAGTTGAAGCCATGGGAGTAGCTATAGTAGTGTAAATAGATCATCCCTAATAAACTAAGAAATAGTGTAATGATTAAAAGTGTAGGCCCTACGTTCAGACAACATAGATTCTAACCCTAGTTCCATCTTTTATTAGTTATGTGATTTGGGGCCAGTCCATTCATTTACATTAGGAAAATATTATTAAGCATCTGCTATATACCTGTTGGAGGCACTTGAGATCTGTAAGTGAAAAAAAAAAGACAAAGATCCCTGCCCTTGTGGAACTTATATTTGGGGGGAAGGAGAGACAGACAATAAATAATGAACATAGTAAGTAAATATATTATCTGATATGTTAGAAAATGGTAAGTGTTATAGAGAAAGAAAAAATAGAGCTGGGTAAGAGAGACTGGAAGTGTGGAAACTGGGAGGAGGCTAGTTGCAATTTTAAATAGGGAAATCAAGACAGGCATTGCTGAGAAGGAAACATTTGATCAAAGACTTAAAGGAGGTATGGTTGATAGCCAGAATGAGGGCTATGTGGGGAAAGATTATTCCAGGCAGTAGAACAGTAAGTGCAAAGGCCCTAAGGTAGAAATGTGCCTGGCATGTTACAGAACATCAAGGTGCCCACTGAAGTTGAAAGCACAGTGAGCAAGGGGGAGGGCAGGAGGAACAGGATAGGTATGTTCATGTGATACTCTGTAAACCACTGTAGGGACTGGAGCTTTTATTCTGAGTTAAGATGGGGAGTCATTGGAGGGTTTTAAGAGAGGATAGTTATACTTTTAGTTTTAGGAATGATCACTCTTGCTTCTGTGTATAAAACAAACTGTAAAGGACAATGGTTACCTAACTGGGGCTTTGGTTTCCTCATGTGTAAAATAGGGATAATGATCTTCATCTCTTAGGATTGTTGTTATAAACAATGACATATATATATATATATAGATAGATAGATATAGATATAGATAGATATAGAGAGAAAGCACTTGTTGCAAGGCCTAATACATAGTAGCCACTCAACAAGTTTTAACTATCATTATTAGCATCATCATCTTCTCTACCAAAAGTTTTCTTTAAAGGAGAATTCCTTGTGAGAAATATTTAGGCGCCAGAAAAAAGAGAGTACATGCTGCTCAGCAAACTAAGTTTTACTATTTTAAACTCTGATCTAGTTTTGCTAAGTGGAAACTCAAATTGATATAAATATGATGTAACTAACCTCTATTGTAACTTTAATTATCTTTTATTGAGTCTGCAGAGCCCTAGTATTCTCTTAGGACTGTAAGAATTGCAGTTATTTGTTCCTGCAAGTTTGGAAGACTTAATGAAATATATAAATGATTGAACAGGTAGCTGGAGTTCATTCATTTGTTAATTCAACAAATAGTTATTGAGTTCCTACTATGTGCCAAGTACCATGGTAGGTGCTGGGGACACTAGTGAACCTGACTCAGTCCCTGTTGTAAGGGAGATGTACATGCAATCAGTTGATTACAATTCAGAGTGAAAAGTATTTGGGGAAGTTCTAAGTATAGTAACCTGTCCAAAAGAGTTTAGTAAAAAGATGGACTATCTTACTATCTATTTAATTCAACAATGAATATTTGTAGCAAATTTCTAGAGGTTGCTGAAGCTCTGTAAAACACAGAATTTGTGTATTAGTCTTGTACAAGGAAAAGCAATGAAAAGCAAAATGGTCTAAATAAAAAGGACAGATGGAGGAGCTGATTATTTAATATCTATTCAATGACAATACATAATAGGTACTGTGATTCATAGTAAAAACCAGATTAAGAAGTTGATATGATTTCTTCTTGGCTGATTTCCCCTCCCTAGGGTAAAGAGTTATAAATCTTCGGCTTGTTCCCAGGGTTGGCTCATCAGTAAATCACAAACATTGCACATCTATTGTGCCCCATGCACTGGGAATACAGTGGTAAGCAAAAGAATAGTGTCCATATACTCAGGGTATTTACTGTCTGGGGGGATGACAGTTGTTACATAAATCATTTACAACGGAATGTAAGCTCCATAAGGGCAAAGCCTTGTCTTTTTGTTTGTTCATTGCTCTGTTCCCAGAACCTGGAACAGCTGATAGGTAGTAAGTTTCTCTGTAGAAATTTATTTTATTTCACTGAGTACTGTGAAAGAATATAAGGTGTAATGTGGGTACAGCCTAGGTTGTAAGGGCTAGGAAAGGTTCCTGAAGAAGGAATGTTTAAACTGAAACCTAAAATGAAAACTGAAGAAATTCAGATGCCAACAGGCACATGAAAAGATGCTCATCATCGCTAATTATCAGGGAAACGCAAATTAAAACCACAATGAGATATCACCTCACACCAGTAAGGATGGCCAGCATTGAAAGGACTAAGAACAACAAATGCTGGTAAGAATGCGGAGAAAGGGGAACCCTCCTACACTGCTGGTGGGAATGTAAGCTAGTTCAACCATTGTGGAAAGCTGTATGGAGGTTCCTCCAAAAACTAAAAATAGAAATACCATTTGACCGAGGAATTCACTCCTAGGAATTTACCTTAAGAATGCAGGATCCCGGTTTCAAAAAGACAGATGCACCCCTATGTTTATCACAACACTATTTACAATAGCCAAGAAATGGAAGCAGCCTAAGTGTCCATTAGTAGATGAATGGATGAAGAAGATGTGGTACATATACACAATGGAATATTATTCAGCCATAAGAAGAAAACAAATCCTACCATTTGCAACAAGATGGATGGAGCTAGAGGGTATTATGCTCAGCGAAATAAGCCAGGCGGAGAAAGACAAGTACCAAATGATTTCACTCATCTGTGGAGCATAAGAACAAAGCAAAAACTGAAGGAACAAAACAGCAGCAGATTCACAGAACCCAAGAATGGACTAACAGTTACCAAAGGGAAAGGGACTTAGAGGGGGAGGTGGGAAGGGAGGGAGAAGGGAAATGAGGGACATTATGATTAGCAGACATAATGTAGGGGGTAGCGCACAAAGAAGGCAGCATAGCACAGAGAAGACAAGTAGTGACTCTATAGCATCTTACTACACTGATGGACAGTGACTGTAATGGGGTATGTGATGGGGACTTGATAATGGGGGAATCTAGTAACTACAATGTGGCTAATATAATTGTATATTAATGATACCAAAATAAAAAATTAATTAATTAATTTTAAAAAAAGAAAGAAAACTGGCAGAAAGGAGGAGAATATATTCCTATCATATGCTGTACTTTCTCTGCACTTCCCACACTTCAACTGGAATTGATTATTTCAATATCTAGTTTCATTGTAAGTTTTGGAAAGTCAGGGACCAAGCCTATTTGTCCAGAGAATCCGTGAATCCCTAGAACCTAGCACATAGTAGGGACATCCCAATGAACTGAATAATTTTTGAGGAGGAAATTCAAACATGTATTGTCTGCCAGTGGCATAATTACAGCCTCTCAGCAGAGGCAAATTCTATTTAATGCCATATGCACAAGGATCTGGTCAAGAATAAGAAAATACTTACCTATCATAAATCTTGGCAATTCTCAGTTCTCCTCTTCCCTTTCGCAAGCTTATTCTTGTTGTTGAAGCATGAGCCAGAATGTGTCCCCCGATGGGTTTTTTTGGGTCTGCCTGAAAACTGAATTAATAAAACACCTTTTCACGTTGCAGCATATGGATATAAACAGTAATATCTGTAATTGCATTGCAAGGAGGATGGCAGGGGACGAGGTAGGTGTGTGTTGTGAGCAAGCAGAGCTTGCTTATTAACTATGGAATGGGGTAAAGTTTGGAGCTACTATGTACCCCATTGCCATCTAGTTCAGAATTCTGAGATCCTATAAATAGTTCCTGTTTTGTTTGATTTTTTAAACAAGAGAAAATGCAAATAAAACATCATTCACTGTCTTAGGAGAACTCTTGGGGTTAAGCAGTTATTCTTCTTTGCAAAATACAATGATTAAATTTATTCATTTACTCATTTATCAGTAATATTTACTAGTGGTCTACTATGTACGAAGAAGCACTATTCTACCCTAGTTACTAAGAAATACCCAACCTTCCCTCGTAATGCCATGACTTAAATGAGAGCAGATTGAGAACCTCCTTCTTGTTCATTAACTGTTTGTTCGAAGCCTTCAATATTGTACTGGTATGAATTTGCAATGAGAAAAATCTCAGAAATATCTTTGTCTTTATCACTGCTGCCTGAAGTTTATTGTTCTAAAACAGGATACAGAAAAGATAATCTTACTTATCTTACTATATCTGATCATATGGATTCAAAAAACATTACAATTGCAAGGTAGTTACAAATATTACTGATACATTACAAATACATCTCATCTTGAGATATATAGTCACTAGGGGATTAACACTTACTTTGCAAGAAGTGAAAAAAGTTCTTAATAATCCTAATAGTGAGCCCTTCAAAAAAGCTCTAGTGCTATTATTATTCACATACTATATTGCCCCCTCAATCCTTCTTCTGTTACCTGTCACTAAGCTCCTTGAGGGCAGATGACATTGTACCTAGCTCTGTAGAAACTAGCTACACAGTGGGTGCTCAGAAATATTTTTTGAACTTAAGATATAGAAGTTACAAAAATACCAAGGAGAATATTGGACTGTAGAAAGATAGGTGCTTCCACAAAAAGTTCTATCAAGAGGAGACAAGAAAGGATCGTCAGTTAAGTAAATGGGCAGAGAGAAGTTTTAACAATTACATTACTGCTTCTGACAGATGGTCTCGCCATACTGCTTAGTAATTCTCCTACATGAGCATGGTTATCTTCACATCCTCTTTTCCAAACCTTCAGTAATCTTCCTAAGCCTCCTTTTCCATTCTTGTCCCCTCATCTTGGACGACATTGCCTGCTGCTTCACAAGGAAACGTGGGCTCTCAGGAAGAAGCTCCCTTAACTTCTCCTTCTTTCTGTCTGCCGCCTACATACTCATCTACAGTTGTAATCATTCTTCTTCCCTCTCAAAGTTCCTTTTTTTCTTATTTCAGCAAGCCCTCTTACACCTCGGTGCCTTTGCACACGATTTTTTCTCTGAAATGAAAGCCCCTTTGCAACTGTGTTCATTTAGCTCCTACTCACCTGTCAGGTGTCATCCCTTTGTGGAAACCTACCCTGATCCCCTCAAACAGTGGAGGCCTTGTCCTCTCTGTGCTCTCATACCCCTGTCTATATTCCTCTATTAAAGCACACTGCATTGTAATTTTTAATTCATGGGCCTCACTCCCCTACTATACTCTAAATCCTCATTTATCTTTGTAACTCCACAGCCTGGAAAAGTGCCTATGATATGGAAGGCACTCAATAAATACTGTTGAATGAATACAGAGGACAAGACAACTTGGGTCTCCCTGGTCTAGATCCTTTTGGACAGGTTTGCAATGTATCTTTAAAGAAGCTATAATTCAAGGAACTTTTGAAGGATGCTCTGACAGAAAGGCAAATGTAAAAGGAGATGGGTTTCCCCTAACTGGAGTAATCCTCCCCCACCCCCTTACAGATGACCTAAAGAACAGCAGGAAGCTGGAGCTTCTTGATGTATAGCCATATATTTTTCTTAGCAAATTATTGTTTGCTGTTACCAATATGGTGCCCGATGCACAAAAGAAAATAGACACGACTGCTTGTCACTGATTGTTTTAGGTGAAGAGCCTGAAGGCTAAGAATATCATCTCCAAAGAGAGATAATTTTGAATTAACTAAATGGGGAAATAAATAGAATTTGCAAAAGTACTAAGAAAACATATAGGAAAATATGGAGAGAAAATAGTCCTCATAAACTAAGAGGTTGTGGTTAATCAAAAGAGACTGCTGCATAGCATAACAGCCTTAACTCTGGGAGAATACCAACCCAATTCAAATTTTACTTGCTCCACCAAGGTGTTCAGGATTCTGTATAGAATCTTGTATAGAATTTATGGCACTTAATCTTTCTTGTAGGCCACTAATACTTTGATAGTTTAATAAAACATATAGGCCCTCCCTCAGAAAAATGCACATATGTACATATTTAGAAATTTTCATACAAGTTTAGGAGATTCATAGTTTCTGCCCCCTGTGGTGTAGATGGGTATAAATAATAACCAAGATTTACTGAATCCTTCCTATATGGCAAACGCTTTCTTAACTCTTCTAATTATTTCCCTTTGCTTGGATTCCTTACTTAGTAAATAATTTTGGATTAAAATGTGGATTCCTATAATGGTCTGCATACAGGGAAAGAAAGCACTGATCAAAAGAACCTCAAATTTAGTTACATTTTTCATTATCAGTAAACTAGCCCTCTATCTTTCACTGAGTCTCATGTGCTTGATTAAAGTGACTTTGCTCCCAAGAAATGGATGGCTCTCAGGCTGAACAAATCAAATCTCTCTCTGTAAGGCTGAGTGCCCTGAACTCTGGTAAATTCAGTAGGGTAATGGATACATCCTTGCAAAGCCTCTCAAATGACAGCATACAACCTTTCCCCATGCATATGTGCTATGTGGTATATGAGCTTTGGAGTTAGACCTGGGTTCAAATTTTGGCTTAGCCAGCCAGCCAAGTGACCTCAGGAAAATTGTTAAACTATTCTGTGTCAGTTTCTTCATTTTCAATGGGGGATAATAACAATATCTAATTGGTAGGACAGTTGTGAGAATAAAATGAAATAGGTAAACATTAGCTCAGTGACTATAATTGTCTGCTTTCCCTATCCTGACTCAAGGACCTTAGGCTAGCAACTTACCTTTATGAATCTCAGTTCCTTTAACTGTAAAATGGGAATAGAAAGACCTTATCTCTTAGGGCTGTTATGAAGATTCAAGTTCTATTTAATTTAACTTGTTGGGAGCCTACTATGTGCCAGGAACTGTGTCAGATCATTTATACACATAGGCTCTACCCTTACAGTAATCATGACATGTAAAAGTTACTCAATAAATGTAACTATTACTTAACTAAACTATTGAGTTAAAACAGTCAATTTCTGTCACATGCAGACCAAGAAACTTTTCTTAAAAGTTTCTTTGAACTTCCTGAGTATTCTAGCAGTTATAACCAAGTCTTGAGGTAAAATACAAGAAGGTGTAATAGCATTCCACATTATTTTAGAGGGCTTTAATTTACTTCTATTTCTGACCAAGAAAAAACAGCTTCAGAAAACCACCCACATCCTCCTTTAACCTTCTCTTATTTCCCCTTCTTTTATATTTTCTTCTCCTTTCTTTCCTCCCTTTCTCAAGGGATGAGAGGACATGAGGAGGAGGAAGAGATGGGGGTGGATACTAGAGATAAAGAGGGGCCAAGGAAGATTGCTCTATTTATTCCCCCCTGGTTGAACAAGATACAGCATATTATACTGTTGAGGGTAAGACCCAGAACAGTCTGACCTCCCAACTTCAAATTAAGATGCTGGGGTCATTAAGTACAGGATTATGGTGATGGTAGGGCAGGTGATACTTTTCTGGGAGTGGGATGGGAAGGATAGCACAGTGAGGCTTAAAAGAGCATCAATTCTAAAGTCAGATACCTGGGTTAAAATCCTAGCTCTCATTTTTGAGTTGTGTGATTGAGTAAGTACTCTGAGACTGTTCCCTCCTTTACAGATAAGGAATAATAATAGTATCTACCTTAAATACCAGTTGGAGTGGGGACCTTGAGGGGCCTGGGCGAGGGCAAGTTTGAGGAACAATTGGTTTTCCTAGTACTTTTGACTTGCTAAAGGGTAAAATCAAAGAATGGAATTTTTGAGAAAGGGTTTGTTGAGGAGAGAACATGCCCAAGAATGAGAGGATGCTTTGAGATTAGGGTACAATAGGGAGAGGAGAGTACTGCCAAAGGAGAAGAGTTTGGGGGAAAGAGAAGAGATGGTTTTTAAAAAGGGGTATGTTTAAAAAATTTTGCTAAGTAATCCTCCTCTCCTGTTTCCTCCCAAAATATGCAGAAAAATCTATACTTCTAAACATTTTGAAAATGGAATTCTGTTTTTTGTGGGGAGCAGGGATGGGGAGGGATGAAGAAATATACTGATGTTGGCTTCATGGAAACAATAGGGAGGTCCAAGGAGGCTGAGTTATGTAGGGATGATATAAGATGATGTATGAAAGTGTCTGGCACTTAATAAGCAATCTGTAAATGTAACTCCTCTTAATTTTGAGGGAGAGGAAAATGAAATCCAAAAGTTTAAATGACTTGCACTAGTGACCTTGGTTTAATGTTTTCTCTCTCACTGTATTGCCTCTTACTGTATGCTAATGATGCTCAATCAGTAGGTGGCATCCATAAAGAATAAACTGGCTGCACATTTGTAAGACTGCAAATGTTCTAAAATGACATTTTGTTTTAGCAAAACAAATACATAACAAAGTAGGTGGCAACATCATGGTCCTACTGTTGCTCATCTTACTATTTGCCCTAGTAGTGAGGAGGTTTACAGGCTGATACTTTGACCTTTTATCTCCAGGCCTTCATCAGCTGGATCATTCTAGTTACAAAATCTCTATCTGTAAGCCTGGTCTAGGAGTTACTCTCTGCTGCATCATGCAACAGCTCCTCGCCACTATAATTTTGTTCCTTTTTAATACGATGTGCCATCAAGTATAATGCATGGGATATAAGCCTCAATTACTGTCAGTGTACTTGGGGACTCACACCAATTATAGTGATATTTCTCTGACAGGTCCCAGGCGAGTTGCAGCTTGGATTTCCTCCACACTGAGAAACAATGATATTTTCTTTATGGGAGGTTTTCTAATAGCACTTGAAATCCTTTAGTTTAAAACTGTCCTGGTTTTTCTCATTTAGTTGTGGCAATTTATGTGCTTTATATGAAGACATGCATTTAATTTGTATTATTATAATTTAATATAGTTTAGAATATACTAATTATAGTGAACCTTGTTTCCTTACAACTCGGCTAGGTGGAGATGTTTCAAAGCTGATTCACCCAGCAAAAATACTAGCCTTTGTTACCTTCTCTCTTTACTTGGCTCACTTCATTATAAATCTCCTCCCCTCTCTGACTCTTTCAGTTATTTCTTTTCTGTCACTTCTCTATTTCTCTTTCATTTTTTTTGGAGTCAATTCAAAATGGTTTTACTTTTTGAAACTTTCTACAAATGTAAGAAAAAAGAACCCCTATCTGACCTAATTTCCACAGATTTCCTTTGCCTTCTAACTCTAGATCGACAGTTTGGGCCTTGGTAATGTTCCCTCCCCACACCTGAAGAAAGAACATTGCTCTTTAACTTGTACTGTTTTATTTGAATGCAACCCACTTCCTCCCTCTGAGCCCATGAGTCATTTTCTCTTTTTAAAGCAAGCCTTAAAATTCCTCCATTTCTCTTCAGTTTAAAATTATTCTCTTTGTAAAGTACTTCATGTCCTGTGTATGAAAGATGCCCTATAAAACCAAGCCTTAATTGCTCAAGGACTACAGGCAATGCATAACCTACCAAGACTTTAAGATTTTGAGTTAAATAGACATCATTTATTTTATTTTTTGTTAAGACAAGGCACATATTCACTTTTGTTCACTCGTGAATTCCCAGAATCTTGATACACAAATTTTCAATAAACATTTATTGAATGGGTAAATGATTAATTTCCCCCTCCTCAATCTTTTTAACTTGTTTAATATCATTCCTGTAGTTAATATTTTTCACATTGGAATATCCTATAGTTAAGTAGAAAATACTCATAAAAGGGTACTGAAAAATGAGAGATACATCAAACTGCAGAAGATACAGCAAAATACTCTGAGGGTTAGTTTAGAAAATGCCTAAAAAGAGATATATTCATTTCAGTCAATTTACAGAACTTACACTAGCATATCTCATATCTTCTAATATATATGTCAATAACTCATTTACCCACTACTAAATGATGTATTGGCTCAGTTTTAAAGTAATAAAACTGTGTATTGCACCCCTCAGAGTAATAATTGATTTGAGCAGGAGTCTTCAATAGATGCTAAAATCAATTGGAGAAAGCTTTTTGTAGAATACAATATTTACACAAGTCTCAAAGTATTACCCCACAAATTACTTAATTACAAATAGGAAAAATATCTTTTACTATGGAAAAGCTTTGTGAATACCATCTTAATCACATGATCAAACTTAATATCACTAATAAGGAACAAAGAACCATCGTGTGCATCTTCATATGGTATCTTCATATGATGGAGAAGGCCATGACACTGCTTACATAGTTTTCCTGACAAAAGTGTTTAACATTTTAAATAATGAGGAAAAAGAAATCAACTCCAAATTGAGTGCCATTCTGAAAAACAATTAGCCTGTGCTCTTCAAAATGTCAGTGTCAAGAAAGTCTAACAAAGGTTGAGGATCTGGTCTGATTATAGGAGACTAAAGAAACATGACAGCTACATGCAATGCAAGATCTTCAGTTGGTCCTGAATTGAAAACAAAATAAAAAATCCCAACAACTATAAAGAACATTATTGAGACAATTGGAGACATTTGAATACAACTGTATATTATATAACACTAGCATGCCAATGTTAAATTTCCTGGCTGATAACTATATTATGGCTATGTGAGAGAATGCTATTGTTCTTAGGAGAAATATGCTGAAGTATTAAGAGATGAAGTGTCATGATGTCTGTAAATAATTCTCAAAGGTTAAGGGGAAAAAACTTCTCAAGTGCCTCAACAAAAAATATACATGTATGTATATATGAATATGGTGTGTGTATGTATGGAGAAAGATTTTACACACATGGCACATATATATATACACACACACAAACACGAGAGAGAAAAAATGTGGGAAAATGTTTACAATTGATAAACTCAGGTGAATGATATATATATATTAATTGTACTAGTCTTGCAACTTTTCCCTGGTTAGAAATCTTTGTAAATAAAAAGTTGTTGAAAAGACTTTTAAAAGCAGTATCATGGATTTAGGGTTATTTTGATTGCTTATTCAGATACACAAATTTTTTTGATGGTGGCAACTAACTTGTCTTCAGGTTTTCTGTTTTCACTATCCTCCCTGAGCTCTCCTTGCCTTAACGTTCACTGCCATCTTTTAGGCAGAGCCATAAATAGGTATGTCATATGCACAAATACTTCAACAGATTCTGAATATGCCTAGTGTGGACTGAAATTCTGTTTCTTCAAACTTCAAACTATGAGACTTCTCTCATAGGACCTGTTATATCATGCCAGGCAGAAAAAGACAAATACCATATGATTTCACTTATTTGTGGAATATAAAAACAAAGCAAAACAGAAGGAACAAAATGGCAGGAAACTCATAGACACTGAGAAGGATAGGGGAGGGGGATAAAAGGGCACAATAATTCACAATCACAGTGTAAGTTGATCATGGGAACTGTTGAACCATTGTGATGTATATCTGAAACCAACACACAATGTATATTAATGATACTTTAAAAAATGAATATAATGTAATATATATATATAATGCATATCCTGTAGAGGCCTGGTTTTTGTTTTTAGGCTAATAGCTTATCAGTGCAACAGACACCATTCATGTATATGGAATATAAGTTTTTATTTCCCTATGATCTTTTTCTTATTGTCCTCAAATATCCTTTTAGTCCTAGACAAAAGAGGAGGCCAAAGTATCTCTGAAGATGTTAAACTATTGCTTTATTCTTAAAGACCTAAAGAAAAATAGATTCTGGTAACAAATAAGTGATACTTGTGATTATAAGGTAATATGCCCCATACAATTGAAGTGATTTATGACTTTTGTGTCCACATCGACTGATAATTTTGGAATTATTTTCTGTTCTCTAACCCTTTTGATATTAACCTTTGTCAAATCCAAAAGCAGAATATTAGGGCTTACGTCATAGTTGCTCCTGGATCAGCAGTCATTTGATTGGTCACAAAAACAGCCACATTATATTCTGCATCAAGATATAAAATTAATAAATTAAAAGAATAGCAATATAATTATAAAAAGTTCATTGTTTAGATTTCAGAACTTAGGAATACTGTGCCATAAAAATTATTTTATAAACACGATTACATTCCCACTTTTTCCATTTATAACATTAATTTAAAGTTATTGTTACTGCCATTTAGGCATCTTATTGTATTAGAATCACTATTTTTGGCTTTAAAAAAACAGCTGTATTCTTATGAAAGTAATTTTATCTTTAAAAAATGTATTGTCTCCTGACATTATTCTGAGCTGCAAAACCTACTCATCAGAAAACAGTCATAGATGCTGTTCTAAAGCGTCGTTTAGTTTTAAAAATCTACCTTCTGAGATTTTTTGGAGTCTTGATAACATCTGGGCCAATTTTTGCTGCCGTTCAGCCAATTCTCCACGACCACTGAAATCCACCCGAAAAAGTGCCATTATTGAATCAATAATCTGCACAGGATTAATGTAAAAATAAATATGCATTTGGAAATGGAAGGAAGAAGTTAATTTGAATTGGAATCAATAGAAGAAAAATAATATGCTAAGTAGCTCTGTAAGAGCAATATTTAAAAGCTTGTACCAATAGCTTGAAAATGCCAGCTTCTTCATGGAACTTTGCAGCTACATAATCAAGTAGCTCCATCTGATGTTCACCTGGTGGGAAACACAGAAATGAGAAAATGTTAAGCTAGAAGCTAGAATCATGCATGTATGTTCTTGGGAGTCAGGCAAAAGAGAGTCCTTGAAGGATTTCCTTAATTATTTATGACTGTTAAATATGAGTTTATAGTTTGCCTTAGCATACATGCCAAATGCTACATTATTCAAAAAGAATGTTACTCTCCATTTCAAAGACAAAAAATAAATAATTCGAGGGCATTTTAATATCTAAGGGCTTATGAGCCAGATGATAAAATTTGTGAAATAAATTTGGAGAAAAGTAAAATAAGTAGAAAAAGAACAGTGCCAAAATGCAATATCATGAAATAATAAATGAGTATTGCCAACCTTAAAATAGCCCAAACCTCCAACTGCATGGGGCTCTTACTAGTATATGCACGTGCATAAAGTACATTGTCCAGTACTGCATCATGGTCTACATTGAAGCGATCAGCAATGTCCCGAAGGCGATCAGGGCGGCTGGAGTATGTCAAGATTAAGGATCCAATAAATCAATGCCAAAAAGTTTAGACAACAACTACAAAAAATAGTACCTTAAATAAGCAAACTGATAGGCTAAACAATATGCCTGCAAAAGTATTCTGGAGGATGCTAATAATTCAAATCTCTACCAGATTTTATTTTTCATAAGTGCTTCAATTATAAATAACTTAGTGATAACAGTGATAGAAATTATGAGGCAATAATAAATTAAATTATCTAATCTTTACAATTACCTTGGAAGCTAGTTGTTACAGCCTAAATAACACTTTACAAATGAGGTCACTGACAAACAGATTAGGCAAATGACTCAGGATTATGCAGCAAATTAGTTACAAATCAGTTATTAGAAAAACTAGAAACTAAGATTTGTGAATCTCTTTTGTTCTCAGTTCTATAAACATATATCTATTCTAGGAAGATTATATCACTGAATTATAATTCAAGTCACTTCAAAGTGAATTAATTCACTCTCTTCACACTCCTCCCTTGTTCAATATGAAATAGTTTAATATAGCATTAATCATGTGTTGCCAACAAATGACAAATCTGACTACATGAGCCAAAGGGTCAAAAAAGTAACTCCGAGGATCAGAAGGGAATTCTCAAAGTACAGTTTTTGGTTTACTTAGGGTTTAAAATCCACCTTCTAAGGAGTTGTGTTAGCTTTCTGCAATTAGCAAATTCACTAAGAGTAAAATTCAGTGTACCTGTGTTGGTATTCTAGAAGGTGCTAATAATCACTATATCTATTTAAACTATGAAGGAGTAATAAACATTTCTTTAGGTCTTTGGTGATCCCAACACTATGTCTACAGCATTCTCTAAAGTGAAGAGAGGTAAAATAAAATGCACGACTGTGGTCTCATTTCACTTTTCTTTTACAGTGTTTGTATAATACAGATCATACTGTAACTAACTGTAAAGCAAGGATCATTTATCATCTTATTTATGACACTTGCAACTAGTTCATTAAACGTTGACTTGAATTGTCTTTTGGATTTTCCAGTCATCTACATCCTAATGAACTATATATTTTTTTCTTCAGAGCTTCAGTGATAGCCACTAAAACCTTCAATTGCTGCTGAGTATACCCAGTAGATGTTTTTGGTGGACAAGTCAAAGAAGACAAGAAACTGGAAGAGGCAGTACAAACATTTTGCACTATGTTAGTTTTTTCACTACATTACTATATGGCCAGAAGTGTAAAAGTTGGGCTTATGTTGAAGGGAAGTTCAAATCAATCTACAAATGTTGTTTTAACTGATTACCACACTAACCAATTACCAACGCAAAGCATTCTGGGAGATACAAGGAACAGTAAGTGTAAAGCAATTAAGTAGGCAAAACATAAAAGTATCAAAAGAAAAATATTAATAAAGAGTTGTAAAAATGTAAAAGACACTGAAAGAATGAGAATTTCCACTGAGGCCCTTGGATGTCCTTGTTCCCCTCAGCTGTTCACTTCCTCTTGCACATGACTTGGCACCTAACTGTTCCTCTCTACCATTTTTGATAAAACCCAAATTACCCAAACAGTGACTGCTAATCTGCAAATACCATTCCTCCCTAAGAACCATTCTTAATAAACCATTTCTGAAAGTATGTGAACTCCAGCTGAGTCCCTCTTGCTATAGCCCCATTACAACATTCCACCCTCTTTTCCCAAGTTCAAAGTCTCTGAAAGATGAGTCTTCTCATGCCCAGTATTTCCAAATAGTCTTCTGAAAAGAGTTCTCTGGTTGCTTTTCTTCTACTGGAGTATTTTAGATAGTAAATTCTATAATAGATCATTAAGGACAAGGTTTTCTATGTTGGGTAATTAGAAAAGATTAGAAAAGTCACGCCTTCAAAAGACAGCCTTAAAGTTTGCATGATTTAGAAAGATTGTAGGGATAGAGGAAGCAAATACTCAACAGGATAGAAATATACCATGCAAATTTCTCTTATGACTGACCAAATTAACATTCAAGAGTGAGAGCAAAACAAAGACATCTTCAGACATGACTGGGCTCAAAGTTTACCACCTGGATTTTCTGAAAGAATAACTTGAGTAAAATAGTGAAACAAAATACAGTGAAACAAAAATACAGAAAAGAATATCTGGCATGTAAGAAACCATAATGAACAAAGAAAAAGAGAATATAGTTAAATCCAAATAATTGCTGACATACAATGTTTTCAAACTTCAATAGCAAAGCATGTTTTAGAGGCAATAAGACTGGACTAGAACAGACTGACCGCTTTGACTCTAATAGTGGCCAGTAGTGAGTAATGAGCTAGGGGAGCCTGGAGGCATCACTGTGAATGGCCTTACAAACCTGTGCAGATTTTCCCTTTTGTTAAAAAGAATTTCCTCTGAACCTGATCCCTCTTCAAGCTACTCTATTTCTTCTTCTATCCATTGGTTAATAACACACTGCCTTGATTCTTTACTGTTTATTTGCAACAAGCTTCCATCATCTTACTCTACTGCAAATACTCTCTTGGACTCTTAATTTCAAACCTCAGTTTGCACATTGAGTCAGTCTCCCCCCTCTTCGTCTTTGTGGAACATTGATGACTACTCTTTTCTTCTTGAAATTTTCCTCCTGCTCAGCTTCCACAACCGGATTTCTGCCTACTACTCTGTCTCTATGAGTTCCTCTTTTAGTCCTTCTTCTTAAACTTAGGCACCCCTGAAAGTTATGTTCTCAGTTCTCCCTTTTCTCTCTAAGTTCTCTTGCCCCTGTGGCTATTCAGTCTATACTTCTGTTCCTACTCCTTACTCAGGTTGAGTCCGACATTTCCAACCGCCTTACAGCTGGTCCTCCTGTACCTCATATCCAACACCTTAGTATGAAACATCACCTTTTCTCTGAAACATGATCTTCCCAATTCTGTCATTAGCATCATTATGCTCCCAGTATCTAGACAAAAAACCTGAGTGTTTCTCAAACCTCTCTTCCTTTGTCTACCAAATAGAGTCATCAAATCCTATCAATTTCCTCCCTAGTATTTCTTGTCCTTTTTGTTTTATTCCTACCACTTCCAACCCAGATTAAGTTCTCATTACTTGCCTTGAATATTGCAAAAGTGTCTAACACCCATCATCCAGTTTTAAAGCCCTTAATGTCAAAGACCCATGTCACCTTTCTAGCCTTGCATTCTGAAATACCTTATGCTTCAGTTAAACTGCAATTCTTTTGATACCCAACAGGTTCTGCCCTTTTCCTTCTGTGCTTTTGTTCTCTTCATACCTTTAACTTTATTTTGAACCATGACAATAATTTTCTTTTTAACTATTAAGTAAAATATTTGGAGAAGAGGATTAAAAACAAAATATAGACTGACGAGAAGTAGGCTTGAGATGGATTAATGATTGTACATTGAGCGTTGACCCCCCTATACTGAATTTTATTGTTGTTAACAACCATTTGATCAATAAATATGAGAGATGCCCTCTCAAAATAAAAAAACAAAAGAAGAAAAAAAAAACAAAAAAAAACAAAATATAATTTCCTCTTATGTATTCACTTTGCCAATTTTACCCAAACCCATTTAGAGAAGTAAAACCTTTTAAAAGTGATTTGAGAACTCAACCAGCAACTGTTTTCTCCTTGGCTTTTCTCATTATTGCTGGTTTATGGGATAATTATAAAAATGATGCATTTTAAACAAACTCTCTTTTATAGTAGTAACATTACTATATCTTATAATATCTAATACTATTATGTTAGCAACTTGTTTAAATGAAAGGATTACAAAGTATTTTCTGTATCAATGAAGATAATCTTTCCTCCTGAGTAGCCACCTGCTCCGGGAAGTTGAGCTGTCACTAGGAAGCAATTAACAAATTAATTAATATTAATAGGAGTGAATAAATTTTGTATGAATGAATATATAAATTAACATGAGATTTATTCTGGTTGCAATTCTTCAGTCAATCTAGCAAAGAATCATAGTTCTTTTTTAAACAGCATGTTTCTAACAGTTTCTAAACAGCATGTCATATTTTTATATTACCAACGATACAATTATAAATATTCTGCCAGCATAGTGTTAATTCAACAAAGAATGTCAATATCTCTCACAATGGGAGATATTAATAAAAATTCTCCTAAAGAACAGAGGTAGAATTTTAAAAATATTTTATTCCTATAAGAAGTAATTATAAATATAACATGCTATATAACTCATTTAAATAATCTTTCAATTAATGTGTGTCAAATTTTAAACTGCATTTTCTTTATATGTAGTAGTTAATACTAAGGGATTGCTTCATAGTAGGTACACTCATTATTTATTTTTTAAAACAACTCTAAACTTGGCACTATCATTATTCTTATTTTACTGATGGGGGTAATTAGAAAGGTGAAGAAATTTGCCCAAGGTCACATGGCTGTCAATGGCAGAGTCAAGACTGAAACCAGGTATTTTGATTCCAGAATCCCCTCCTTAACCACTTGGCCATGCTCCTTTTATTTAGGTCAAAGGAATGCAGAGTAAAGTCTTTGTGTAAAAGGAGGTATTTTTGCTTATTATGTTTTAGAAAAATTTGTTTTTAAGTCATTCTTAGGGCTGATTTTACTCCATGAAAGTAAGGGATTCTAGGCCTCAGATTTTTTTTTTCTGGTTTTGTGCCTGATTTTTTTTTTATTGAAGTATCATCGACATACAATCTTATATTGGTTTCAAGTATACAACACAGTGGTTCAACAGTTACCCATATTATTAAACCCTCACCCCCATCAGTGCGGTTGTCAACATAGGAAAAATATGGAATGCTTTATGAATTTGCGTGTCATCCTTGCTCAGGGGCCATGTTAATCTTCTCTGTATCGTTCCAATTTTAGTATTATGTGCTGCCAAAGTGAGCACCTCAACAGATTTTATGACGTTCTTATAGATAAGATACACAAAAGATGGAATGGAAAAAACAGACAATGAATGCTTCTCCCACCCACACACTCATAGACCCATTTACCTCCTTCCTATATCCATTCAGGTGTTCCAAGTCCAGCACATACAACATTACCTCAAGCATCACACATTCAAAGACCAGCTCTGGTATTTGTGTAACCATTGGCAGTTTCCTTAACCTCTCTGAGCTTTAGTTTCCTTGCAAATTTGTTTCAGTTACATGAGATATATAAAGTATCAGGCACAAACTAAGTTAGTAAGTAATAGCTATTACTGTTACTGTTATTCTTGTTGTAATGTATCCTTACCACACAGAGTATGAGAAAGCTGGGTTTTTCCAGTACGAAATTCTGTGAAATAAAGAAAAAAAAAGCCCCATATAGTTAATTATTACAAATTCTCATAAAGAATAAAATATGGCCTTAGAATATGTTTTTTTGCCAACTGTCAAATCTTACACATAAAGTACCACTGTGTCATGAATGGAATGTGCAAATATGAATACTTTTTAAAGGTATTTTTTCACAGAACTGTCCTTTGGATAAAAATTAATTTAAACCGATTTTTCCTTAGGAATAGTCACTGTGAGATAATAGAAAAAATACATATATTGGTCTCTGCCCCTGGTTCCTGCCACAGAGCTCCTAAAACCCTTGTAATTTCCTAAGTGATAAGAGTACTAGGGTCATCTTTTGTTTTGATGAGGCAACACTGGGTAGGCTCCTGGAAGGGGCTGGTCACCAGATATACCAAGTCATAATTAGAAGCCTGGAATTTTCAGGCCTCCCCATCTTCTTCTCCAGAGAGGCAAGGGCTGGAAATGGAGTTAACTGACCATGTTTATGTGAGGAATCCTATATAAAATCCCAACAGTATGGGGTACAGACAGCTTCCAGGTCAGTGAAAAAATGGAGGTGCTGGGAGAGTGGCAGCTTCGTGCCCCTTCCCTCATATGATGCATATGCATCTCTTCCATCTGGATGTTCATCTGTATCAATTACCATATCCTTTACTAAGCTGGTAAATGTGTTTCCCTGAGTTCTGTGAGCCGTTCTAGCAAAATTGAACCCAAGGAGGGGGGTGTTGGAACCTCTGATCTATAGTTGGTCAGAAGCACAGTGGATAACCTTGGTTTTGACTGAAGTGGGGAACAGGGGTGGCAGTCTTATGGAACCAAGCTTTTAATCTGTGAAATTTGATACTCCCTCCAGGTAGACAGTGTCAGAATGGAGATGAATTCTTGGACACTCTCGTGGTATCTGAGAATTGCTTGTTGGTGTGGGGAAAAACCTCCACACCTTTGGTGACCAGAGGTATCAGCAGTGAGTTGTTTTGTGTCAGTAGTAAAGGAGACTCACAAGAGAGAAACACACTGAAGAGAAGAACTAGGTTTTTCCTTACATAGAAAAAACCCCTGAATTTTTTCACTTTTAGCCACATAAATGAAAGTTTAGGACCCTACCACAGGAAGGAGAGCCTGGGGTTCTTCCACTGAACTGAGATCCTCAAGGAGGAGCTCAAGTAGTCTCAGACTGATGGCAGGCCCGAGCTACAACAAAAGCAAATTCGTTCTGGAGGAAAACTTTTCCACTCACTAGTTTAGGCCCAGTGAACTCCCATGGATTAAAATCAAACAGTAAGCTCACAAATATCAATACACACACAAGAAGGAAAGCCACTAAGAGTGAGAGTCAACAAAAATAAAGAAAAGAGATTTATTTTTCCACGTCAACAGAACATCAAAAACAACAACAAAACAGATTTTGTTCCCCAAGGACTGCAAACACTAGAATTGTCATCATATATAATATGGCTATGCATGAATTGTTTTGAAGAAAAATAGAGGATATGATCAGGAAAGAAAAAAATTTACTCTTTGTGTTTATGAGACGTGCATTTCCTAGAAATACGATTGATCTCATTATTCAATTACCTCTTGAAGGAATGAGAGAAAGAAAATCTATTCTCTTCTATAGGAGTTAAGAGATAAAAAGATGAAAATGCCAATAAGACCCATCTTATGGATTGGAATATATTTTAAATGCAGCCCAGAGTGATTCTGTATTATAAGAATTGATTTCATCATAACTTACTATTGCTTATTTAATATTTGCATATGTATATATATTTAATATAACAAAATATTAAGGTTCTACCTACCTCCAAAAGCCTCTGTGATTGCCATGCTTTCAATTCCACCTCCCAGCAATTTACTGGAAATAGAAAGTAAGCATTGGTAATAGGAACAGAAATAGAGATAGTAAGAAAGGAGAAAGTATTAATATCATTTATATTTTTTCTATCCATCTATTTATCTTTCTATCTATCCAATATGAACAGGAATTCCTGGCTGAACAAATGGCACTCCACTTCTTTAGCGACAGATTGTATTGTGTATGGCAAGTGGATCAACAAAACAACTTACAACCCTGCTGTTCTTACTTCTATTTGAAGTACCAATTTGAAATGGGCTACATAAGCCTTATGTCTCACTATTCTTTAGAACTGAATTGGAGATTGAGTAAATGGCCTTAGTTATTAATAATGTGGGTTTTTCATATTGTGCTGAGATTATGTTTCTAAAAGTCAACAGAATATTTAATTTTGAAAAATATATTGAGAAACATATGAAAAATAGACATTAGGAGAATCAGGTGATTGTCACCATGATTGGTTTATTGCACACAAACCAAATTCTATGAAGAACATGTCAGAATAGGAAATATTCAAAGATGTTACAGGTAATGCTAGCAGTTAGAAGAATGTCAGATTTTACAGCATACATTTTACTGGTAGCCCACTGTTTTAGTGCATTTAATATTCTTGATGTGAAAAGACCTATGATTACAACATAATCTCATCCATTCATTAAATGCAATAAATACGGTGTTAACTGTGCTAAAACCTGGAAGGAACATTTTAAACAGTTTTTGTAGTTTCTATTAGCAAGACTTTTGGTACATGGTCATAGATCAGACAAAGCGTTTAGAGAGATGGGTAATCCAAAAGAGTTACATTTACACCTCCTAAGAGAGCAATTCAAATAGAAATTGAAGCAATATTAGAAGTTATCCACAAATTTAATGAGGACTATGGACTTTAATGAGGAAAAGAAAAACTTAGATACTGATCTGCATAACTTCAGTCTAAAGGACATGGGCTGAGAAACACCACCCTGTCTGGAGGGCACCAACTTGGAGATCCTATAAGCCTGCCAACGATTAAGGAGAGCTTTGCTTGTCCCTCCTCATCTTGAGAAAACTACCCTGAAAAGCTAGAGCGCTGGAAAATCTCAGGTGAAACTTCTGGTTGATATGCAATCTTAGTCAGCTGAAAAGGTAACACACAAATTTACCTGAAAAGGGTACCCCAAATTATTTGAGATAGCAGAATTGTTCCTTTTGTGAAACTCAGGAAAACTTAGAATTAAGTATAGAAATAGTGTTTTTAAATCTAGGGAGATTTAAAAATAGAGACAGAAACCAAACTCACAGATTACTATTTTAAAAATAAATTGGGAATAATCTGTGGATATTTGGTATTTGAGAACTCTTAAAGTTTAAGAGAATTTTACCATTTTATAATAACAGATTAGCCTCTAATCGATTAAACGATATAGACCTGAAGTTTCTATGTTGATAACTAAGTTTATACACAGTATTTGAACATTTAAGATTGCTTAAAACTCATTATACTTATAAGCTTAATTTATTAGACTTACAAAAGACATTTATATAAGTGGGAAGATTTTAACAGTTTCACAAAGTTCTTAAAAGAAATACATTAAATTCACAAATATAATTTAAAATGTTTAAGGGAACTTAGTTAGCCATATTATAAAAACTCTCTTAAAATTTACGAGATTTATAAATGGGCTTGCAACTTAAGAAAAAATGTATAACATTTTAATAAATCAAGTATTAATTCTAAAAATTCTAGCTTCTGAGTAGTCCTTTTTGCACCCCAAACCCAGCATCAAGGACACCAGAAAATTTATTATGACAGTCATTTTTCTAGCCCAATGTTTCTTAAACCATGATGTGGCAGAGCAACTGGAGAATATCAAGTTGTTATTTGAATCAAGTTGTTTTGATGATCAGCCTGATTTGACTAATTTGACTTGTACTACGATTTCCCAAAGACTTGCCTAGTTATTACTAGAAAAAAAAAGTTCTGTAATTTTTTTTTAAATTTGAGGGCAATGCTAGGTTAAAGAGGTGTTTGTTTCACTGCAGGATTTTAAATGTTTTGATAGGGTAGTGTGCACTGTAAATCTCCAAGAGAAATATATAGTATAAAACACTTCCCCAACTTATTTCACTATTTGTTTATTCATTCAGTCATTCATCAAATATGTATTGAGCACCTAATTTGTGGCTAGAGATTGTTCTATACACTTGGGATAAAAAAAGTGAACAAAAGACAAAAGTCTTTCACTTTGTGGAGTTTACATTCTGATGGTAGAACAGACAATAAACATAAGTATGTGGTATGTCAGGTGTTATTAAATAGTATGGATAAAAATTAGATATGGAAAGGGAATAAGAAATGCAGAAGATAAAAGTAGGAAATGTAAATTTTCAAATAAAGCAATCAGAGAAGACCTCATTGAGAAGTGGACATTTTAGTAAAAACCTGAAAGAGATGACAGCAAGCCACGTAAATATGGGAGGAAAGTGTCTCAGGCAGAGACAATGCTAAATACAAAGGCCCTGAGGCAGGACTGTATCTGGTAGATTGTAGGAATAGCAACTAAGTCAATGTGGTTGGTGCATAGGAAACTGGGAGAACCAAAGATGAGATTAGAGATTAGAAGGATTTTGGCTTTTGCTCTGAGGGGAGTCATTAGAGGGTTCTGAGCAGAGAAGTGTCATGATTTCTAATGTATGTTTTAAAAGGATCTTTCTGGCTCTGGTATGAAGAATAAATAATAGCAAGGGCAAGTTCTGAAAGAGGGAGGTTAGTTAGAAGTTGTTATAATTATCTAGAGGGAAGAGTAATAGGTGGTTTAGAACAGTGAGGCAACAGTGGAGGAGGGGGGGAGAAATAATTTCTTATTTCCTCTTTTTCCCGGTATGCACATATGCACACACATTAAAAAATATATATAAACTTTTTATTATGGAAAATTTCAAGCATAGAAGTAGACAAAATAGTATAACAATGCACCATCGTGTATCTATCATTCAGCTTCAACAATTACCAGCTGTGAACCTATGGTCAATTTTTTTCCATATAACATCCAACCACTTCCCTCCCTTTTCATATTATTTTAAGTAGATATTAAACAATACACCATTTCATCCTAAATACTTCAGCAGTTATCTCTAAAAGATGAAGATAAATTTTATATATTTTTAATATAACTTCATTACCATTATCACCTAAAACATTAGTAATTCCTTATACCAACTATCTAGTAAGTGTTCCATTTTTCAACTGTCTCATATATGTCTCATTTTTTATAGTGTGTTTGAATCAGGATCCAAATAAAATACATATTGGGATTAGGTAATGTGTCTTAAATCTCTTTTAATCTCTGGGTCTCTCTGACTCCATCTCCTTTTTTTATCCCTTATAATTTATTTTTTGGAGAAACTGGGTGGTTTGTTCTGACTAAATACACTTAAAGGTAGAGCAGACAGGATTTGTTAATGAATTAGACTTATGGTATGAGACCAAGGATGACACAAGGTTTTAAGTCCGAAGATCAGGAGAGCAACAGATCTGAGATATGGAGACTTTGGGAGAAGCCTATTTGGAGAAACTATCAGAAGTCTGGTTTTGGATATGAGAAGTCTGAGCTGCCTAGCAGACATCCACATGTAGACATATTTGACTATGAAATCTTTTTTTCTTGGGGTATCTTGTGAGGCCAGGGTTTTGAGGAATACTTTAAGGAGATACTGCTTCTGTTTAAATTGCTCTTGGCCACTGTTCTAACTTACGAAATAGTAATTCTGCTTTAGAAAGGTAGGGAAAAATCACTTGTAGTCAACTTGCACTAGGAAGACAATGATTAGGTCTCAGGAACCATAAGATAGTAAATAAAAAGAGAAGTTAAAATTGGTGATGCTGAAGAGCAAAACAATACTAGATTATTTTTTCTAAAATATTCAATCTAACAATGAATTTTAAAAAGTAAAATGGAATTTTCTTCATCAACAGATAAGAAAAGGAAATGAAAAATTAAGCTGATTTTTAAAATGGTTTGTAGAATAAGACAGGCTGATTCAGAAACTATTTATATTTTGGGTCTGATTTATTTTAAGAAATTTAATCCTGTTTCTACAAGTAGTCTAGAATTTATTGGCTTCAGCTGCCTTTTGGGAAAAAAAAGATGACTTCAAAAGAAGTTATTTCTACTACTTATGGTAGAAATAACAACCAGATAGAGGAAAAGAAATACAGTATTCCAAAGACTGTGCTTAATGGTTATGAAAATATGAGATACACACTCAAATTCCTGGCTCCCAGTGGTGATATGAAAAACCATCTTCCTCTTCTCACTATACTCAAATGCAGTCAAGAATCCTGGTTCCTAGAGAAAGAAAAAAGGAAAAGTTCAGAAAAGATCTAAGATGATAGTTTTGATTTCAAATGTTGCCAAAAACTATATACTTGATTATCAGCATCATCATTTGATATAAGCTATAGTTCATTTGTCTTTGAAGACAGCACAAGATCAAGATCATGGGTAAGAACATAGGCTCTAGGTAGGCCACCCTACCTAGGTACAAGGAATGTCTCTAATATTTATTAGTTATGATGTGGGGTAAATTACTTAATCTTGCTGTACTTCAGCTTCCTCTTTTGGGTCAAATGGGGATAATAATAATATCTCTCTCATAGGATAGCTGTAAAAATTAAATGAGCTATATTTACGGCATAAAGCAAAATGGTATTTTACTAAAC